CTTGGTGGAAGAACCGATGAAGATGGTGGAGAATTTGAATTTTGATTATACAGAGAAAAGCCCAGTTGCATTTGTGCCAATCACAGGATGTCAGGGTCTGAATGGGAAAATTGATTTTAGGGGTCATCAGCCAGATGTTGGTCAGGTTGATGGGATGCATTTCAGTATCCCTCCTAAGCATAAGTTGTCTGCCACTGTTTCATTGACACTTCCGGAGTCAGATTACAACAGAAACCTTGGAGTTTTTCAGGTATGCTATCTTCAAACTCCGGCGTTAACTGCATTAAGTCACTCTTCTTTTTTGGTGATTGCATTTGATGGTCCTATGAACAGATCCCAAAACGTCAAAATGTATATCCTTTTCCTTTAACACAAGCAGGAGCAAGTGTACATTATTACTAATTATAAACTCGATGCAAATCATCATAATATTATTTGTGTCTTTGAAAAGTCCTAATCTTAAGCATTGCATGGATTCTGACCTGATTTTGCTGGCACTGTCAAATATGGGAAAAAAATAATATGCTTCATAAAGCAGCACTAGGATACTCCGTATAATATTGCTGCACTAAAAACAAGGATATCATATTGCTTGTGGAACGATTTTGGAGTGCCGGATTTCAGGTAAAGGTGGTTAGATAATTGGGAAGCGGGCAGTGTTCTAAAAAGCGCCAAGGGCTATAAGCATCATAGAAAACTAAGGCCTACCACCTTGATGAGGTTTTGTGTGGGGACGTACGCGTAGGTGGGATTAGGCATGTCCCTCTTAAGAGTAGGCCCCAAATTTGTACAGTTTTGCTTACTTTAAAATCTCATTGGTTCCATTCTTCATCAATTGAGGAATATGTATGTGTGTTTTAAGGTAAGGGTTGATCTCCTAACTTCCAATGGCATGGTACTTGCAAGCTCAAGGCGCCCGTGCATACTTCACTTCAAAAGCCAGCCCATACGTCTTCTCTCGACTTTCCTCAAGACAGCATCACTCATCACAGGCTACTCCTCAGAATCCCAAGATTTGGCTGTAGAATTCAAAGGTTTGACCCAAGGTGATATGCCAACTGCCTGTGTGAGGGTAACCATAGAGCAAAGAGCTGAATTTCACCCGGGAGGAGGGCTTCCTCAGCTATACGCTGCGTCTCTGGTTCTCGAGTCTCAGCTTCCCCTGCTGCAAAGGCTAATTTGGTATTGGAAAACAACTCTGTTTGTTTGGATTAGTCTGACGTTATTCTCGGTAGAGTTGGTGTTTGCTCTACTCTGCTGCAAGCCTCTTATCTTCCCGAGAATACGGTTGATGCAAGCTCCTCCTACTGAAAATCTTCAAACCGAGGTCAGTGAATCACCCTTCATTTTACAGTAACTTATAGGTGTTAGTGTTTTCAAATAACCCTTAAGAAAAAGGCTCTCTCTCTCTCTCTCTTGTACCTGAAGCCGTGTGATTCAATGCATATGTTTGTGTGAAATTTGTACAGTACAGTTCTCTTTCTCAAATATTAGTTCATTACAAGAAGAAATACAGAAAAAAAAAGAGAAGATTTGTCTAGATAATAGTCTCTTTGGAATGGTGAATATTTCTACTTTCTAGTAGAGTGAGTTATGGACATGTTTCAACCAGCATAATTTTCTCCATTTGGAACTGTGAGTCTCTTTGATTTCAACCACACCGCTCTGTTTTCTTATATTGCGTGCAAATGTGCAAAAAACAAATAAATATTTTATATGACATTGATACGAACATAATTTTATTAGATTTATTTTGTTAACCATTTTTAAAATATTGTTTTATTTAATTAATAAACCATATAAGTTTTATTTAATTATAGATCAAAAGTCGAATTTAATTGATTGCAAAAAGTAAAAATAAGATAAATACTCAGGGACAGATGTAGGAAACTCTTATTAAGAGGGGACTAACAAACTTCAATTATATTAAAAAATAGAAAAAATATCCAAAATAATCACAATTTTACCAAATCTTTCAAAAAAAACAATTTTCACTATGATGTATAGTAATCATAACTTTAACTAAACTTGCAAGTTTTGGATCACCATTAAGCAATTAATCGAGAGCAACAAAATGAAACTTATGATTACTTCTATGGATTTCTGTTCTATTTTTCTTAAATTTTTAAAATGACTTTCTACCTCCATATTTTTTAAAAGATTAGTCTTACCTCAGAAATGATAAAAAAAAGTAAATATAAAAAATAACGAAAATAAGAAACAAAAGTCAAACCATACAAAATTAATCAAATAAAAAGATAATCACTAAAAACTAAACTCAAACTGATAAAAATAAAACTCAAAATATACGGAGTGGTGGGTTCTAAAAGTTCAGGCACTATATAGAGTATTAATATATATTTTTTTCCAGCTAGTAAAAATATGAAAATAAAAATAAAAAATAAAAAATAAAAAAAGTTTTTTCATCTTAAACCCTAAAAAATTGAAACTAAAATAAATAATAAGAAATAAAAAAATTTCTTACATCAAAATATTTATTTTTAGTGACTTCTTAATAAGAAAATTAATTTTTTTCTTATTTTCTTTTCAAATTTGACCAAAGGGAAGAAGTAATATATTACGGAGTAAATATTAATATCCTTATAATGCGTAAAACTTTAGAACCCACCACTTCAATTATTTTTATTTCCTACCAGCTTAAATTTAGTTTTTATTTATTATCTTTTTATTTCATTATTTTCTTATAGTTTAGCTGTGTTTCTCATTTTTGTTATTTTTTATATCTATTTTTTTAAAATTTATCTAAAGTAAGACTAATATTTATAAAAATAGAATTAGAAATGATGGAGGTACCATGTCATTTTAAAACTTTAAGGGTAGATTATTTTTAAAAAAATAAAACAAAAATTTATAAAAACTAATCTCAATTTTAGTTTTGTTGTACAAAATAAATTATTTCTGTTAACCAACAGTTAGCAGTTTAGCGGTAACAAAAAATTCACACTTTTCATTAAAGATGATAATGTGATTATTATGCATCACAGTGAAAGACAAATTTATATTTGAAATACTAAGTAACATTAGGATGATTCAGGATAATTTTTCTTTAAATATAAGGCCCCGTTTGGTATGCGAAATTCAAACCATGGAATTGGAATTGAGGACTTCAATTTTAGTTATCGTGTTTGGTAGCACAAAAATTATGTGGATTTGGAATTGGTAGTGCAAAAAATAAATTGGTGAATTCAATTTTATGAAATTAAATCCCATGAAATTTTAATTCTAATTCATTCATAATTTTATCAGTTCTGTGTATTAAACGGACCTTAAGTCAAAAGAAGAGGGAATTTACCCACTAGGTTCTGGAAAAACTGATTTGCGGAAACTACAATAATTTCCCTTGGAAAATAAAAAAAATACGAAGTATGACATATGGACTAGTAATTCATTTGTTCCAAATTAATCATTCTATTTCATTATTTAGATTTCGAACTTTTTTCTTTATTTATTTTAGTTAATCATTTTCAAAATAACATAAATATGGTACCTCTCGTTTTATAAAAAAATTAATGTACTCCGTAGTTTTTTAATATGTATCATACACTCTCGATTTGAAATATTGCACTCTGTACATTATTTTACGCTCTATGTCTCTAATTAAAATTAGATGGATTTAAAAAAAAATTTATAAATTTAAAACTACATAAAATTCTAAAAAACAAGAAATACAAGATTATACGGAGTATTATTTTTTAAATTAGATACTCCGTAGTAAAAATAAATAAATAAATCAATGAAATTTGACACTCTTGATAATTGATGTAGTAAAATGAGGTCATGGATTACAATCATCAAATTGTAGTTGACTAGTTGGCACATTGCAATAAAAGCCAAGATAGAAGGCACATATTAAGTGATTAAATTCTAGTTAATTATTCAAACATAGCACATTTCCCAACTGATGAAATGTTATATTCCTTCCGTTCTGAAATTAACTTTTCAGTTTAATTTTCGTGGTTAAACTTTTTAAATTCTAACTGCATATTACGAAAACAATACATTGAATTTTAATACGGAGTATAAATTTAATAACAATATATTTATTTTAAAATATTGTTTTGAATTATTTTATTTTATATTATATATTTATATTAATAGAACTAATAATAGTTAAAGTGTTACATTAGAGATCGTGGAAAGTCAAATGCCAAATTAATTTTATGACGGATGGAGCATTTTCCAACTAGACTATACATTACGATGGTTGACTGGATTATTTATAAATTGATTTTATTTAAATAGTGGTAAAAAATTTATATATTTTAAAAAGACATCAAAATACTTGAACAAAATGTAACACAACTTAATTACTTTAATAAATGATTAATAAAAATAAGAATAAGGATGTAGCAAAAATTAAACGTTAGATTATACATTACGATGGTTGACTGGATTATTTATCAGTTCATTTTATTTAATAGTGTTAAAAAATTCATATATTCAAAAAATACATCAAAATACTTGTTTTTATTAATTATTTACTTTAATACTCCCTCCGTCTCTGAATATTTGTCACACTTGTATTCCCAAGGCAAAATATCAAGTTTTTTCAATTCATTTTATTTACATATTGATATAGAAATAAAAAATAAAATTTACATATCAAAAAAACTACATGAAAAGTTCTTCGAAATAAGAGGCGTCAAGAATATTTTATTTTATCAAATAACCAATAAAAATGTAAAAATAAATAAAAATTCTCGCGACTGCTAAAAAAACAAGTGTGACAAATATTTTGGAACGGAGGGAATAAATAATTAATAAAAACTAGAAGAGGTATGAAGCAAAAATTAAACATGACCATAATCCAAGAAGAAAAAAAATCTCTTTTTCTTAATTTTCACCAATCAAAGGTAACCATAATCCTTTCAACAACAAAAAAAAGTAACCAAAATCCAAAATTTCCAAATTGTAATCTTTAAATAGAAAGAATTACCTCGAAAGAAAGAATATAAAAAAACCAATATTGAATCACTGTGCGTGTCTTTTTCTTTTTTCCTTAAAGAACGAAGGTACGAAGAACTCTGGTGGGTGCCCTACAGTGTGAACAATGATTGCGACGATTTTTTCAATTCGCTTTACAAAACCCTAGAAAACCCCGCGGAAAAATCGGTAATCCAGAGGGGAAGACAATTTCTCGATCCACGCAGATCCCAATTGCCCACCACCGTCAAGAACACTTTAGTCTTCTGTCTTCTTCCTCACCTGGTAAAATCATCAAACACCTGACCTGCAATTCTGTGCTCGTCGTTATATCACCTGTGAAAGATATTGACTTTTCTTGTGATTTGCTTATGTGGGTGTTGCGTCTCTCGGTTTTGCTCTAGTGGGGTTTTGCCCTTTGTGAAATCTTGGTCGTATTTGACGGCTTTGCTGAGAATTGAGGCAAGAAGATTTGATGATCTAGGCCAGAGGAGAGTTTGATTGCTGGGGATTTTGTTAAAGATTAAACATTTTTACAGAGGGGTTTTGTCTGGTTTAGGATTCTGAAGAAATCTGTGGTCTTGAAGTGAAAATTGAGTTTTCGTTTATCTGATCTTCTTTAAGGTTTTGACTTGAGTGAGGGGGCTGAATATATTCCAAGATTTTGTATTTTAATCATGGATGAAGCTTCCAATGGTTTGCCTCCTTTCCTTGTCAAGACGTATGAAATGGTGGATAATCCTTCGACCAACCGTTTTGTCTCTTGGAGTCAGAGCAACAAAAGCTTCATTGTTTGGAACCCGCCAGAGTTTTCGAGGGAACTCTTGCCTAGATACTTTAAACATAACAACTTCTCCAGTTTCATCAGACAGCTTAATACTTATGTCAGTAAGATTTATCTTTTCTTTGATTTCTGTTTTGGGTTTTGTAGCAACTTCTAATGTCTAAAACCTTGATTTTGTGTTTTCTTTCCCTTGAAATTTTGGGTTAGCTAAATTAATTGACACTCGGGTAGTGTATGCTGCATAGGAAATTCATTTTCAATTGATTTCCATGGAAAATGTTTTCCCAAGAAAATAATTTTCCATACATTTTACACTCCCATAAAACAATTTCTTGGCAAGCCAAATTCTCATTCTCAAGTGTCTCTGATGATCTAAAAGTCAACACTAAATGCTTACTAAATACTAGTATTACTTTAAAAATTAAAAGAACCAAAACACATCCTTCCGAAGAGCGCGAGAAAAAGATTTGCTCTCAATGGAAAACAATTTTGCAAGCGGGCAAAGTTTCCCTTATTTGCTTGTCAAACACAGAAAACATGTTTTCTGAAAAATCTTTTCCCGCGTGCCAAACACTGCCTGTATATTTGATGGCTCTGATCTCAACTAGTTGGGATTAGGCGCACTTGGTAATGATGATTGCCATCTCTTGTCTACTTTCTTTGGTGCAGGGCTTTAGTAAAATTGATCCAGAGCAATGGGAATTTGCAAATGATGATTTTGTTAGAGGCCAGCCACAACGTCTGAAGAACATCCACAGGCGCAAACCAGTTCACAGTCACTCTGCACAGAATCTTCACGGTTCATCTCCTTTAACTGAACCAGAACGCCAGCGGTACAAGGCTGACATCAAAAAGCTGAATCATGAAAAGGAATCGCTTCTATTGGAACTTCAAAGACACAAGCAGGAACACCAGGGACTTGAGTTGCAAATGCAAGCGTTGACCGGTCAATTGCGGCATTTAGAACATGGCCAAAGGAGCATGTTATCCTCCTTAGCTGAACTGTTGGATAAGCCAGAGCTAGCATTGAGTCTCATACCCGAAATGGGACTGCCTTATAGAAAGAGAAGGCTTCCAGGAAACAATCACCTCTATACTGAAACTGACAATCAACTAACAGAAAACATTAGTCCAACTTCCCTTCCTTTGCTGAACAAGGAGTTGTTTGATCAGTTAGAGTCATCTTTGATCTTCTGGGAGTCTATGTTACTAGACATTGGCCAAACAGTGACAGTCCAAGAGATTTCGGAAGCCGAATTGGATGAATCTACTAGTGTTGCAGATAGCCCTGCCATATCGTATGCACAACTAAACGATGACGTGGAACCCGCCAAGACTACAGGAATCGACGTGAATGCCGATCCAAATGCAAATCCGGTTTCAGATGTTGGCCCAGACAAAGAGCCTGAAACAGCACAAGGGATTGCTCCTAGCACACCAAAAAGAGTAAATGACTTATTCTGGGAACAATTCCTTACTGAGAATCCTGGTTCAACCGATGCACCAGAGGTACAATCAGAGAGGAAAAACCTTGAGGGAAGAAAAAATGAAAACGTAGTAATCGACCAAGAGAAGTTTTGGTGGAACATGAAGAGTGTAAATAACCTTTCCGAACAGTTGGGACATCTTACTCCGGCAGAGAGAACCTGACTCGGTAGGTTTTGTAATATTCTTTTAGTGCTTTTCTATGTTTCTCTGTTTGACATGTTCTGGCTTGTATACTAGATAGAGATTTGTTTCATCGTATCATAGACGTGTGTGTGTGTGTATATATATATATATATATATAACCACTTGTGCTTTCTGTGAATCTTATAGAAACTTGCTACCATTAGGCTTCTAGTGTATGGCTTTATGTTCATTGATAGTGAATAATGGATGACCATTTCTTCTATCCCTCTTCACATTTCTTTCTCAGTACATTGGCAGCAAATTCTGTTTTGCTTTCTGAGTCACTTTATGAATATGATTTTATAGTAATGCAATAATATATCAGCATTATGGAAAAAGGACATCAAGCAATTTTTTTTTGAATTAATGGTTATTATCAATTGCCATAAGTTCATCTCAGGTGAAGATGGTGACTTTCTTTTATGATGGGCTTGGCCTAGACTTCTTGGAAATATAACTTTGTTACTCACTTACTCTGTGTTAGTATTTGAGAAAGATTACTGTGTTTAGCAGGTAGTGTTTGTCATGGGATGTTGACTTTGTTTTAGAATTGTGTGTGAACTTTCATCATGCTTTGAAATTTTAGGCCTTCCAACTTTCCAGAATGCTGGACTTTCTCTAGTCTCTACCCTATGTTGTGGGGCCAGGGAAAAGAAACAGTAGAAAAATACATAAGAAGACTTTATAATGAGAAGTGGGAGTTTTCTCAAACAACCATGCTAGGGGTACACAAACCCCAATGTGTACACCTAAGTTATGCACTAACATTTTGATGGTTCACACTAGTACAAAATGAAGTGTGATCAAAAAATTTTGTACTAGCAGTTTTTGTCTGTGTGAGCAATGACAAAGGTGCATACTTCTAGTATACAATTTGGGTACATCTTTTGGTGTACATGTAATTTAAGGGCCTGTTTGGAAATAGCATTAGCGTTTTGAAAATGCTATCAACGTGCGGCATTTAGCGTTGATGTTTTCAAAGTTAATCTGCACTGTTAACATTTTTTCCAAAACGCTAATGCTAATCGAAAATGTTATTCCCAAACGGGTCCTAATTCTTTATTCAATCGCCCTTTTTCCCTTTAAATAATTGCAACATTTAGGGGGATGGGGGGAGACGTTCATCGTATTAGAGCTGCTTGGGCATAGTGGAAGCTAACTTCAGATTTCCTTTGAGGCAGGAAGATAATAACAAATTGAAAAAGAAGTTATATCAAACAATGGTTAGATCGACTATGTAATACTACACGGAGCAAGGTGTTTGGACAATGAAGAAAACACATGTTCCTCAACTTCAAATTACTGAGACGGGTAGGAGTGTAAACGGATATTAATCGGATCAGATGTGCCATTACCAAATCCGTATCCGTTTATTTTTGTCGGATATCGAATTCGGATACGGATGTTGACAGATACTGTAAATCAAAACTGCATCCGCATCTGCCAGATATCGATCGGATATCGGATATATCTGTATCCGTTTCTAATTTTTTAAAACAAATTAAACAATACTTTAATTTTAAGTTAGATTAAAGTCAAATTATTATTAAATCAACTATAATTTGTTATGGGATAATTATTTTCTTTGTTTTCATGATTTATGATATTCTACGATAACTTCATATGATAAAAAAATATACACAACACACATATACATATATTTTTATATGTCTGCACATATTTTATGTGTCTACACATTTATTTTGTATATAAAATTTCTTATACTTTGAAATATCAATAGAGAAACAAAATATAAACATAAAAAAATTAGGAAAAATTATATATAACGGATCGGATATTCGGATAAACGATTATTTAAACGGATGCATATTCGGATCGGATATACATTTACCAAATCCGTATCCATTTAGTAATCGGATACGGATAATATCCGTTTAAAACTGATGCGGATATTTCTTCTTTAAACGGATACGGATGCGGACGGTAATCGGATTTTCGGCTATCCGTTGACAGCCCTAGAGATGGGGAGGCTATTTTTGAACAAATATTTGAAAGACTGTAACCGAAGATGATCAAACCTGAATGACCAACTTAAAATGGGTCAAACTTGACCGAATTCGAGCCCGATCTGATTGGCCAACTATATTTCTAATTGCAGCTTGGTGGACATGAAAATGGGGAAATGAAAAGATATTCAAAAATATTGATTATGCTTTAGAAGATAAAATGTGGTAGATTATGCAACAAAAAGAGGGATGTTTTGGAGGCTTATACAAAGGTGGTCGAACCCGGGATGCTAATTAGGGGGCGACATATAAACAAAATACTGACTTGGTAAAGCCCTCCAAGTCAGTATTTTGCTGCAGATGTTGTTTTGCTAAAATGGCTCATGATGACACGTGTATTTGGAGAGAATAGTTTTCCCTCATATTAAAATTTTACAAATCTTGAGGGATGATAAATTGTGCATATTTTAATTTTTATCATTTCAAATGTATATATTTCAAAAGGAATATATTCTTCACAATATTTTTGTATATATCTAAAAATTATTTCAAAATTCAAAGTAAAATTTTAATAGCTTTGGAAGTATATTTTGATATTTTTTATTTAATGTAAGAGAGAAGGATATATTAAACTCACTTAATTTTATTTTAATTGCATGCCCTGTATTATCATGATTCGCCTCTAAAACAAAACAGAAAATGTACGAGAGCATTTGTGAGGCTGTTCACAGTCCAATCCAGAAGTTGAAACAGACCTCGCAATAGTCAGGAAACCCCGTGCATGATAATGGAGAGTGAAGTTTGCACTTGACACTTACAGAACTCATATGCTTAACATAATTATCTTCTATCACAATTGACAGAAATCAAACTTGAGTCTATTTCTTTGATACTTTTTATCTTTACCAACTGTTGCAACGCCCACTAATTCACAATAGCTTTTAAAAAAACTCATAGGTGATTTGAGACAAACTCCTGCACAAATGCGATAGTTTTTCTTCTCGAGTCGCCAACTTTTAAGAATCAAACTTTTGAGACATTTTAACCAATATAATATATCAAAATAGTCCCGTTAATAAAAGGTTTCATTCAAAACATGAGTAAAATATAGAAGTAAAACATAGCTCATATCTCTAAAATAAAAGTGACAAATTTTTATCTTCAAAATAAGAGTATCTTATTATGACAATGTAATACTGTATATTAACATTTCAAAGACTATTTTAGTATTTTATGTTAGTATTATTGGTATTATAAATACTATTTTTTTGGGGTAAAAATATAAATTTCGTATTTTGATTTTTTTAAATTTGTGAACCAAAAGCAAAGATATCTTCCCATGAAAAGTGATCACTACCCCATCTGCCAACCCCCTTAGAATTAATATAATTAAGTACAAGATTTACACAAAAAATGTATTTATTTGAACAATCATTAAATAAAAAAATGACCATTCAAATAAATTCATTAGACAACGTGTTAGAGTGTCATCTCACATCAGAAGTTCAAGAATAAAATAATCGGTATATAAGCTCTTGAGTTGAACTAACTAATCAATTGGATTCAATCTTTTAATTTGGTTCAGCCCAAATGTCTCTTTATTGCCCAATCCAGTTATCACTACCCCATCCTAAATTCTATCATGGTATCGAAGCCAATTTTAGCCCACCTCGTTTGTCAAGGTGTCCGTCTTGACGTTCAATCCTAGCGGCCCGCTAGTCTTTAGCCTAGTTGTCCGTATGGAGTATGTACCCAACGACATGTGGGCTGTTTAACACAATTGTTCGTCTGGAAGTCAATACCCAGTAGCTCGTGGTCCTTTAGGTGTTAACACTAAAAAAAGTCAAAGAGAATGTGAGTTTATTTGCAAGTGGTCGGTTAGATTCAAAATGACTCGCTTGTCCACTTGAGGGGAGTGTTAGAGTGTCATCCTACATCGGAAGTTCAAGAGCAAAATAATCGGTATATAAGCTCTTGAGTTGAACTAACTACTCGATTGGATTCGATCTTTAAATGTGGTTCAGCCCAAGTGTCTTATTGCCCAATCCATTATCACTACCCCATCCTTCTCCTATTAAAATCTTTTGTGACAGTACCGTTGCGCTTCATATTGCTGCGTCTTGTTTTTCATGAGTTATTACGCGGCTCTATTTGTACATCTCATGTTTCTACTCAGAATCAGTGTGCAGATATTCAAATTTAATTTTTGTTTATTTACATTTTTGTCCGATCTAAGTAAATTCAATCACACAAAAATAATCGATAACACTAAAATCACCAACAATTTAAACATTAATGTATGTAAACATGCAATTTAATTATTTTTGGATACATTGAGGCTTCCTGTTTATTTCACGTCGAGGAAAAAAATTTAAAAAATGAAAGGGTTTGTGTAATTGGATGCCCAACAGAGGAACAATATCTGCATGGACACAACAAGGATTACATATTTACACGTGACATTGTTTATGATCTTACTCTTTTAGATATTTTTTTGGTTTTTGTTGTTTTTACTTCTTTTGTTTTTCCCCTCTTTTTTCATTTCTCCTAAATTATTATTAAGGCTTGTTTGGGAATAGTGTTAGCGATTAGTATTAGCGTTTTGAAAAGGCTATGGCTATCTATGGACAGCGTTTAGCGTTAACATTTTTAAAGTTATCTGCACCGTTAAAATTTTATCCAAAACGCTAATGCTAATCTCTAATGCTATTTCCAAACATGCCCTTAATCGTCTCCCATTAATATTCATATTTAAAAAAATTCTTTTTTTCTTACTTATTTTCGTTAAAGATTTATTATAATAACATAATCATGTCCTCTCTCGTTTCACTAATAATTTGATGTTGTTTTATCTTGAAATTTTGTACATTATTTACATAAATTTAAATCAAAACTAAACAGTTCAATCATTTTTTATTATCCGTTATTCACAAAGAGACAATTAGTTTGTGAGTCTTAAACAATCCCACCTTCGAACAGTCTTTTAAAAAATAGTTCATCTTTCATTGTTATGCATAATAAGCTAATCTTTGAACAAGTATTTGAGAAAAAATTGTAGTGGGTTATCTAAAAATCAATTTTCAAGGCCGCTTTAGCAAAAAAGTTGTAATTCAATGGCGCTATAATTTTAGACTTTTTTTTACAATTTGTTTTTCAATATGTAGTACAATTATTTTTACAATTGTTAAAAATTTAAATTTTGTTACAATCTGAAATTTGTTGGACAGCGTAATAATGATGTTCAAAATTGTA